AACTGGGTTCAGGCAGGCCCGTCCATTTGAGAAAGGGCACTGCGTCCCATTCTATCATGAATGCGTTTAACTGGGTTAAGGCAGGCCCCCTTACATTTGAGAAAGGGCACTGCGTCCCACACGTAACAGTGCAAAGCAACAGTTCGCGACAGCCTTCTGCGGGCCTCTCTGTGGACCTCTGAATGTGTTTTATCGTGAACGTATATAACTGGGTGCAGGCAGGCCCGGACATGCACAGAAGGCTGCTGTGACCTATACTTGTATTGGTTGAAACCACCAGTGTGCAAGACCCTTCTGCGGGCCTCTGAAAGCATTTTATCATGAACGAATTTAACTGTTTAACTGGGTGCATGCCAGGATCTCACCTCCATGAAAGGTCGCTCCTCTGCGGCACAATAGTCCCATTTAGTACCGATTCGGAAATGCGCACCGCCAAACTTTGCCACGTACGGACAGTCTCTCTTATTACGGCCTTGCTCCACTACTGACCACATGCACAAAAGAAAAAAAATATTATGGCGGCGTATCTCTCCATGTTCTAGCGAAAGGTTCATTCCCACTTTGCACAATTGGTGAGTAGCAAACTGAGGCCTTTAAAGTACCCGTATGTCCCAAAGAGGCGGGCCCTTACATTTGATGGATAGACAGCGCAACTTTGACCGTGGCCCCCCCCCCCCCCCCCCCCCCCCCCCCCCCCCCCCCCCCCCCCCCCCAAAAAAAAAAAAAAAAAAAAAGGGCAGTGGCCCCTGCCAACTGCAATCATCCCTTGTCTATGTTCTTCTGACTTGGATATTCTCCATTTTCCAACTTATTGTTTTTAGTTCTTTTTTTTTTTTTTTCAAATGTCAAGGTCCTGGAGATGGCAAAACTCGAGACCGTCTTGGTATGTATGCCTTGTCTTCTGCGCTACCCCGGAGATAGCATGTTGGCTTGATCGTGTGCCCGCCTGTGATGATGCATGCTCTTTTGTTCTGGCTAGTAATTGACATATGCTGCTATGCCATCTGTCCCGGCTATTTCATGGGTATGGTCAATGTCAGTTGCGGCGACAGTTGCATTGATAAGTCCCCATCCTTCTTTTGTTTGTTCTTGTGTTGAGAAGGTTTATGATAAATCCCCATTGAGAGAGAGAGAGAGAGAGAGAGAGAGAGAGAGAGAGAGANGAGAGAGAGAGAGAGAGAGAGAGAGAGAGAGAGAGAGAGATGGTAAGTCCCCATTGTGTGTGTGTGTGTGTGAGAGAGAGAGAGAGAGAGAGAGAGAGAGAGAGAGAGAGAGAGAGAGAGAGTGGAAAGACGACCATCTTCACCCATGTAGAATATAGGCGGGGTTTTCATACCTGCATCTAACTAGAATGTCAGCCTGAGTACATATAAAATCACCCTGTGTTCTGGTCTGGGCAACAGTGTGACTGTGCCATGCAGAGTCATTTGCAGACTGGTTTTCAAACTTTTCCTCCGCGTGCAGTGGTTGATGTGCATGTGTGGTTGGTGTGTGTGTTTGTGTGTGTGTGTGTGTGTGTGTGTGTGTGGGACCTTTTTGTTTTCACAGTATGATGAAGGAGAAAGACATGAGATCCGATGGGGATGCGGGCTTGGAGATCTTGGACATCTTTCTGTGTAAGGTAGGTGTCAGTGATTGAACTGAGTGAAGATTATTGCAACATTCCCAACATGGCAAAACCAGTTCTCTGTGCACGTAAGATTTTTATCTTTGAGTGGTGATGTGAGAATGATGATGTGTACTTCAGGTGTCATTGATACATTGTTGCTGTACATAAGATTTGATATTGCATTTCCTTTCGTCTCACCTTCTCTCGTCCGGTCTGCTTCTTTTTTCCCATGCTTGGTGTTGCAAACGCGGCCGTCGTTATGTGAAGTATCCCTATCCCTTCCCGTGGTCCTGAGTGTCGACTACGTACAGGAGGGATGCAGGATGAAATGATGGTGTGGGGAAAAAAAGAAGAAAAAAAAAAAGAAAAAAAAAAAAAGAAAAGAAAAGAAAAAAAGAAAGAAAAAAAGAAAAAAAAAAAGAAAGAAGAAAAAAAGAAATGCAGGTCTTGTTTGGAATACGCGAAATGCAGGACCTGATTGGAATACGTGGCAGCTTGTGTTCTGTGAAAGGTGGTGTTTTTTCTGTCTTTGCTGCTTTTGATATTGGCTGGCCGTTGCCATCGTTGGTCGGTCACTGAAGCTAGTCCCCGGGTTGTGTGCAGGGTGGTGGTGGTGGTGGTGGTTTCATTGACTCGCCGCAGGGGTGTCTACCGCCATTCATACCATTCTCTCCGCCGAGCAGGTCAGCGAACCCTGTGGTGCACGATGCACGGTTCCAACAGAAGAACAGGAGCGGTGGTGGAGGGGACTTTGTAGTTGGGGGCTCCCGATTGGACGAGTTCATTGGCGAGGGGGGAGGCGGTCTTCGATCCTCATTGTACGACTAGAGGCGTGCAGCCAAGCGGACATGCTCTCTCTGAGAAAAAAAACGGTTGTGATTCTAATCGGGGGGAGTCAGTCGTCGATACCACCCTCGCCTAGACCTCTTCAGTCTTGCCAGCCACGGCGCATGTTCCTCGGCGACCTTGAGCGAGCTTCTCCACCTCTCGTGGTAGGAAGATAACGATCGGGTAAGGTCAGTAATGACTCAATATCCAATTGTTTGAAATATACCCTTGTGTCCAATTATGGCACCTTATGCGGAGGTAGGTACCTATAATAAGGCACAGAATGTGTCTGAGAGAGAGAGAGAGAGAGAGAGGGGAGAGAGGGGGGGGGGGGGGGGG